GTCAAGTATCCTAAACGTAATCGGTTTAATGCTGCCAAGCGATTAATTGTCGCTTAATCGGCCGTTAAGGCCGATTTCTGCAACACATATATATATATATATATATATATATATATATATATATATATATATATATATTAATTAATTATTTTAGAAAAAAAAATATGTTTGAAAAACGAAGTGAATAAAAAAAAGATAATGGTTTTTTGTAATAAGAAGGTGACACATGGCTAAATGGAGGAAAGGGCACCTACTAGCTCGAAAATTATGATTTTTATTTTATTTTTTTTTATCCTTCAAACATTTAACATTCGTTGGAAAATACTAAAGCCTTGTAAACAATTACCAAAATGGTATATCATATCGTTGATGATTTTAAGGATAAATAAAAGAGAGAAACGAACTAATTAGGTTAATTTTTTAAAAGTCACATAATTCAAAAAATGACCCAATAGACATAATTTTGCAAGTAACCATTTGTTTAAAGGTGAGATTTTTCACAAGTGGCCGCCTGTAAAGATCTTGTTTTAATACAACTTTGAACTTTCATAACTGTTTCATACGAATTCCACTTGAACTAATTTTTCTTATCGTGCCATTTATAACAATGGCTATCCATGTATATATCTTACTATAAACTTAGAGGTCGGATGTCATTATGTTTAGCTCGAAAGTGGGCTACTCGGTGGAGGATATGAAAAGAACCCAACTTTGAACCTCCATAACTTTTGCATATGAACTCCATTTGACACACACACACACACACACACACACACACACACATATATATATATATATATATATATTCATTGTGTTCTTTGTAACAAAGACTATTTACGGACATCACAGTTGTATTTAGATATTGAGAAGTCATACCTATTTATCTCTAAAATAGGGTACTTGTTTTTTGAAGTTTTTGAAAATCACCATTGTCATAGATTGGCATTCTAACTACGAATTCAAATACTTTGACTATGAAATCCAAACGTTTATTGTGAATTTTTATTTCAAATGGAAAATGTAAAATGCTTTATCATAGTTTTAATTTTTTTTATATAGTTATAATTGGAAACCCAATATTATTTTTTAGCCTTTCCCATTAATACATTGCATACCACTATCATTAAACATGTATATATAGAACATAAAACAATAATAATTTAATACTGAAAATCCCAAATTTGCTTGATGTATCAATCAGATCCAAGTGATGATGCGAAATCCCAATCAATTGGATGATGCAAGATCAAAATAGAGAAGAATGAGAAGAAGAAGAAGAAGAAGAAGAAGAAGAAGAAGAAGATGATGATGATGATGAATCTTGAATGATTTGATGATTAGAATGAAGTTCCTTACAAGATTCACACACACTTAGCACCGCACACTCTCTCTCTTCTAGCCGTACATTTCGTTAACACTCTCTACCATTTAACACTTATATATAAGGCAAATGTGTCGTGAAACAGTTCACGGTCGTGAACACAATTAACCGCACACACCACATTGACTGAAAACTCAATTGCCTAAAAAAGCAAAGTATAAACCATATTTTAGACCCAACAATCTCCCCCTTGGTTTATAGCTTTCTTTTCTAAATGACCCAACAAACCCCCCCTAAAAAGTAGCTGACTTTTCTTGTCAATATTCAGTTGGAGCTTGGCTTCAACGTTAACCTTTAAATTCTTCACAGCTTCAAGATGAACCTGATGAATCTTCAATAAAAGACTTCATCTTGAGCAGTTGGACATTTCTTCAAAATTTTGGCTCTGAACGCACGTTGGGCGTGGAGGCTTCTTGTAAAGATTATTGAAAAATGGCGCTTTCAGCTTGAAAATCTTCAGAGAGAACAACAGTGAGAGCTAATCTTCTGGATTACTTCAGCAGGTGCATAGATAACAACAAATTGATTGAGGAGGCTTCAATGCAATTTGTCACATAATCTTCGAGTGCAGCTTCACCTTGCTTCCGGGGTTGATAATTTGTATGTTGAAAGAATAATCTTCATTTCTTGTTCTTTTGAATGAAAATTCTTCAATGATCACGGATGAAGTCTTGGCTCAAAAATTCTCGATACAGTCTCCATGAATCTAATCTACATTTGAATTCACTTTTCAAGACAAAGAAGATTTGAGATAAAAACAAAAACTAAAAAACAAACTCAGACACAATATTTTTGTATTTTTCATATTTTCTGAAAAAATAAAACAGAAACAAAAATATTTTTGGACTTTTGGATTTTTCTGGAAAAAAATAAAATAAAACAAAAATAACACTATTTTTAGATTTTTGGTTTTCTGATTTTTGTTTGGTTTTTAAAACTTTTAATTCTCCCCTAAATCTGTGCATAGAAGAAAACTATGAACAAGTTTAACAAAAACAAAAGTATTTGGGATCAAAGTTGTCAAGCAATTCAATATTGTTTATTTGCACACACCTGCATGTTTAGATCTGGTCAATCATCGGTATTGTGATCCACTTAAACACAAAGGATGTTGATAAATTGGACAGTTTATAAGTGACAAGACAGTGTGATCTATATTCTTAAATGGACATTTAGCTGATGACGACCAATGATATTGTTGTCCACTTAAATTAAGCAGCGAGATCTACAGACAACCTATTAAATGGTTTAATTTAAGATTTACTAGAACGTGTTTCCCACTTCCTGATATACCCCGGTAATCAAGAACTTCCAAAGAACTCCTTACTTTAGGTGAGTATTCAATCATTAAGAAAGAAGTCAGTTATAGAAGTGCATATGTTGTATCCCAGGTCGGATGTCTTCCAATCACACAGAGGGAACAACATATGACTAACATAGATACGAGTTAGAGAGATAGTAGAGTGCATATGTTGTGTCCCAGGTTGGATCTTCCGATCATGCAAATGGGACAACATATGGCTAACAAACAGAAAAGATTTCATAGATAGGGATATGTATACAGATAGAGTTGCATATGTTGCATTCTAGGTCGGATATGTTCGAAACACGCAAAGGAAGCAACATATGACTGACAGATAGAAAGCAAGAAAATAATTTCCTACAGACCTACATTATCAGAACCCCCCAGTCGCCCTATCAGTACCGGAATTAAGGACATGAGTCCATACATCGAGGAAATGTTAAGCCACAGTTCTGAATACGTATGAATTTTAGTGTATCCTGCAGGTTCGCACGTTTATCTCAGTGCTCAATCTACCCAAGCGTCGTATGGTCAGTCCAAATGAAACTATCTAAGTTCATATTGTCAAGTCCTTTCATTTGTCAATTAATGTATTGTCCTTTTGTATCCTTTGTGCCTACCAGCACATTGAACACATAGTCTAAACAATTTGGTTTCAGTGCATTACACGAATTTGATATTGCCCTTTAGCGCTAAACTTCATATCATTTCATAATAATACCTACTAAAGGAAAAAACTATAAGAAAATAAAAGATTGTCTTTAAAACGAATCAATGTAAGAAAAACTCCAGAGTATCGAGAAGAAAACTTAAACTGTAAGTCACCGATTGAATTTTCATCCAGAAGGTCTGAGAACAGCACGCATAATCTTAGAACAGATCCGAAAATTCTTCACATCATTAAGCACAAACCCCATGTGTGATCCTTTCCTTTCTTCCCTTCCCACAAAGGACGCATACTCTCAAACAAAGTTCTGAATGTTGTACAGTTGAGAGATGTCCCCTATCATGTGTCTGGAACAACCATTACCAACAAACCGAAGTCTGATGATATGCCTCCATAGCTGCTCCAGCACGGAGCGAAATCAGTTGGTCTTTGGAACCCAGTCAATTTTGAAATTGGGTCGACCTTTTTCATCCTTGCAAGATACTATCTCCCATGACATGTCCTACTTATCACATACAAAAGATGAAGAAATATTAGAATCATTAGAATATTTGGGAGTTTGAACCTTTGGTACCCATCAGTAGTTGGGTTTAACCCATTTCCTTTTCGAGCGGATGGGTGGCTCAGTACTTGCTTTGGAACTCGAAGCCGATCGTTGAGATGATTTTGATCTAGCCGGTCTTGGCTTCACTGGAGCATCTCTTGGATTTGGCTTCTTGGTTGGTAATCCCTTATTGTTCTTGGGAGTCGGATTCTTGGCCTTCTTGGCATTCCAATCACCATTGTTTGAATGTGGCCTCGAAGGGTTTCTTCTGAAAAATCTTCCTCTTTGCGCGTTCTGCCAGCCTTGTGCATAGTAAGGAACATATGCGCGATTTGGAAAAATATCTGGCAATGTGTCCAGGTGTTCCACAGTGAAAACATGTCTTTTTCTTCACGTTGGAATTGTTTCTGCTTGCCCCTGGTGGCGTACCCTTTCCTTGTCTCCGATTGTTCCCATATGCACACTTGCAACAAGCACTCTGTTTAGCTTGAATTGGTGGCCTGTATTTACAAATAACAGGTTGATCAGAAGTAACTAAGTTAGAAGCAACAAATTCAAAGTTCAATGAGACATTGGTTTGTTCAGTAGTGTTCACCTTGTTCTCTTCCTCTAATACTTACCTACACATGAAGTAAAAGCATTAGTATCTTTAATCTCAACAACCTCAGTTGACCCTGATTGTTTAGTCTTAACTAAAGCTGGTGCAGGGGTTTGTCCATATTGAGCAGGTGTCTCTACCTCATTGGTTTCAAGGAGTGGGTTATAGTAGTCATTAAAGGGAGGTGGAACACTGTGGTACCCTAGAACCTTATTTTGACTATCTTTATATTTGAGACAAAATTGCAAAACTGGTCCCTGTGGTATGCATTTTTTTGGGGTTTTAGTCCAAACCACGACTTTTTTGGACTGGTGGTCCTTTTGAGGTAGTTTGCTTGTGATTTTGGTCCTTCGCTAAACTGAAAAGACTAAAATACCCTTCTGATATATTTTATATGTTTATTTCTACTTAATTTAAAGTTTTATTAAAAAAATATGGGACCCACCTCTCTCTCTCTCTCTCTCTCTCTCTCTCTAAACACACACAACCCCTAAAATACCATCGTATTCATGCTTTGCCTTCTCCACTTCTACGCTGTCGATCATTGGAACCAAAATGCTCTTTCTTCACCAGCTTCCCCTTCTTTTTGTATTCGGTCTTTAGAACCTCACCACCACTAGCATCCCTCAACAACCTCCACCGTCGCACCCTCCTGATGTGGGTGGGGAACTCATCAGCTCTGTAACAGGAACAAAAATGGAGCACCATCCTCCTACGTATTTCTCCTTTGACGTGGCTCATCCATCTACAAGAACAAGAGATGTTTCTGAAGTAGCTTCACGTGTTCTTTTCCAGTCTACACGGTTGAACCCGATAACAATTCCATTGATATTGAATCTGTACAGGATTGTGATTGGATGAACAAGAATTAGATACAAGAACCTTTGTGAAAAGAAAAAACCTCTGTGAAAACTTAGAAGATGAAAACTCAAAATGATCGAGAAATCGGAAACCGATTACAAACTCAACTTTTTAAACGGGATGATTTGGAGACAATCTACACACACATAATGGAAAATCAACATGTTAAGAACTTAGGAAATTTGATTTCAATTGAAAATTTCCATCGGAGCAGTTGTGCCTTTGCTCCACATACCACCAACCACGGTGGCGTGTGGTAATTGTTCTTGGTCGTTTTGGCTCGATTTCGACAAAAAAACGGGAAGGATAACTTGTGGATCACTAATTGAAGTAGATGGGTCAATGAGGGATCTTGTTGGAGGTTGAAAGCAGTCGCGAAATGAGGGAAACTTCCGGTGGGTTTTTCACGAGATTCACTCGGCAATTAGGGGTGTCGACGAGTTGTTTTTGACCGATAGTGGGTGCAACTGGAAATGATGCTCTGCAGGGGGTATTTAGGTTTGTGTATTGTGGAGAAAGAAGGAAGAAGTAGGACTGGAACGGAGGACAAAAACTGGATGCTTTGTTTTTTCACACACACACACACACAGAGGGAGACAGCGAGAGAGAGAAGAAAAGAGAGAGAGAGAGAGAGAGAGAGAGAGAGAGAGAGAAAGAGAGAGAGAGAGAGTGGGCCCCTATTTTTATTTTATATATATAAATACTTATAGGAAAAAAATAAAAATGGAAAAGAAATATGGTAAGGGAAATTTAGTCTTTTCAATTTATCGAAGGACCAAAATCACAACCAAACTACCTCAAAAGGACTACCAGTCCAAAAAAGTCGTGGTTTGGACTAAACCCCCCAAAAAATACATACCATAGGGACCATTTTTGTAATTTTGTCTAAATTCTAATTGTCTTTCAATCATTGATGCAACTACCTCACTTGACCCATCAAATTTCTTAAAGTTGAATCCAACATCTTTACATTTAGCTTTTAATGCGTCAAGTTCGGTAGTCATGTTAGCATGCTCTTCCTTAACATATTTATAATTCGCACATTTGTTGCTATATTCTTCTTGAAGTTTTCGAAAGTCCTTGATTTTCGCATCTAGTTGTTCTTTTAAGGGTTTTTGACCTTTCCTAAGTGTATATCTTTCATATTTAAGGTCTTCATTTTCCCTTTTCAGCAAATCAATTTGTTCGCGAATAAATTTAATCATAGTATCACAAGATGGAGTAAATAAAACTTCATTTACCGGAATGTTTGAGGAACTCATTTTTTACTAAAAATGCCCTTTGACTAAAAACTCAAAAGTCAACCTTAAAAGTCAAATTTAAAAAGTCAAACTTAAAAGTCAAATTTAGAAGTCAAACCGAAAAGCTAAATTTGAAAATTTGAAAGTTAAACGAGAAAGTCAAAGTTTAAAGTAAAGGGTGAAACTTGAAAGTCAAAGTTAAAATTTAAGGTCAAAAGTAAAAATTAAAAACTAAAATTTTTGGTTGAAAATGAAATTTAAAAATAAAAAGAAATTGATTTTTGGGTTAAAAGTGTTAAAGTTGCAAAATTTGAAATGAGAAATCGAATCGTTTTGAATTAAATTGGGTGGGAAAACAGCATCTAGCAAGCTAGATGAGTTGGTAAGACGATGGGAGGAAAGGAATGGGAGACCTGGGTTTGATTCTTGGCAACCCAATTTTTTTTTTTTTTTTTTTGAATAAACTGCCTGCCGCGAACTCAAGTGCCGAACACGTTGCTGCGAAGAATATATGCGCCTGGGTGGGAACACAAGTTGAACACGCTGGGCCGTGAACTATCCGATGGTTGCAAACGAGATGGGCTGTGAACCCTTCTCCAGTTCGCGACAAAACAACGTTTTTTCACAATTTTTGCTCCAAAACTCGATCAAAACTCGTTTTTAGGTAAAACTCAAGGAACAAACCCCCACTATTTTGCCAAGAACTATCCAAAAACGCAAAAAATCCTTCAAAAAAAGATCAAAAACGCTCCAGATCTGGCCAAATTGATTGATACAATCCAAGCTCTAATAGCAACTGTAAATCCTAAATTTGCTTGATGTATCAACCGGATCCAATTGATGGTGTGGAATGCCAATAAATTGGATGATGCAAGATCAAAATAGAGAAGAAGAAGAAGAAGATGATGATGAATTTTGAATGATTTGATGATTAGAATGAAGTTCCTTACAAGATTCACACACACTTAGCACCACTCTCTTTGTCTTCTAGCCGTACATTCCGTTAACACTCTCTACCATTTAACACCTATATATATATATAAGGCACATGGGCCATGAACAGGTTCACGACTGTGAACCAATTCACGACCATAAACACCCATTGGGCCGTGAACACAATTAACTGCACACCCCATATGGACCGAAAACCCAATTACCTAGAAAAACAAAGTATAAACCATATTTTAGACCCAACAGATACCATTATATCACACCTTCTTTGTTAGATTGTATTTTTACATAATGGCAAGAAAATTTTAGATGTATCTTGGGAAATTTCATATGTTTAATTATATTTTATTAAACCGTACCATTTTCTTAAAGTGTGCCTTTTTATTTTAGTCTTTAAGATCCACTGCTCCGCTACGAACAAAAATAGAAAAAATATGGATATCCTTGATGTCAAGCAACTTGCTCTTGTTGATAGCAGTGTGCTGTGATTTACTCATAACTATTGTCATGTGGAAGATAAATTGTTAGAGTTTACGATCTCCTTTTAGTTCCCAAATCCAATGAGAGTAGAAAGTTCGCATGGTATAAAACACAACTGCTCATAATTAAAATGGATGAAAATATATAAAATTTTATTAACATAAAAGAAAGCAATGTACAACACTTCCAGAGCGAGATGAAATTGCTGATATTGCATTTGAAATAATTGAAACCTACATGGAATTGTTTGTCATTTACAAATATACTCCTTGGTTCCAGCTCATGCATGTCCTAAGTACACATGTTCATCACATATATTGATAATGTAATATGATTTTAAGTGGTAATATGTAAACCTTTGTGTTTTTTTTTTTTTTTCTTTCGTGTTTTTATCTTGTGTGGATGTTGTTTCAATACAAATAAAAGTGGATATGATATAACATTAAACTCGATTTCACTAAAAGATATTAAACTTATCCTAAACGACAAATAAAAACATAAATTATTCCTTAAATAATAGGGGGGAAAAAGAATTATCATATTAGTTGGTATTTCCCATTGAGATGGACACATTAAATGATGCACCATTGTTATTTGGTATGCAACTTATTAATACATTGCTAAAATTCTGTAAATATAAACAAAATTATGACTATCGGAAATAATGTTTAACCATTGTAATGCCGCTATCATAAGACCATAATATATATTACAACTTTTCTATTTCCCAAAGTGACGGCGTCGATATCTATAACAAAAATCCTACAAAAATTTATAAATCAAATATGTTTATGTGGATTAGGTGTTTAAATTCATAACTATAATTGTTATTAATTTGAATTGATAATAGCACATTCCTTTTGGGTTGTCCTCAAAGCTAGCAAATGGACATATTATATTGGAGAGAGAGAGAGTGATAACTTATTATGGGATTAATAAATTGGAAAAATATAATTTATTAATATATTATGAGAATAATAAATATTAGAAATTATAATATTTAATTAATAGTTAGTTAGAAATTAATTGAAATAAATTTTGTGATCAATTGAATTAATTAAATGTGAAGATCGATAGATTCTATATCAATAATATGAATTAAATATAAAAACAATGAAGATCAAATGTGTGCCTAATGCTTTGATTAAAGAGCTATAGAAGAGTTCTCAAGGAGGAACTTCTCTGTGAGAGCGTACAAATGACAACTAGGGTTCAAAAACCATAATATGTTACATGCATGCACTATATATAATCTAGACTAGAAAGCAAAACCGATAATGGACATGCCCATTTCGGAATAAATAAACTATACAAGCACATATTTGACACAATATAAAATAGACCCAACAAGCTCTCACTTTGTGTGAAATTCAGAAGGAGCATCTTTATTGTCTTCAATGCGCATCAAAAAGTTTAGGCATTAAATTTAGAAAGGTGTTTCGGATGCATAAGTACCATCTTATTATATCCGAGAAGCATTTAAGGTCGACAGAAGTGTTCGCCTTGCTTGCTTGAGCCATGGAAAGAATAGTCTTCAGAGCAGCAGTAGAATACTGATGTTTGTCTTGCAGATAGAATATACTTTTGTGAACAACTCCTTCCTTTCAGTTATAAACAATGCTCCAATGTTCTTTTCAGATTACCCCAACTTTCAGCTTATGAATATCCTTCGTTTGCTCTTCAGGTTTCAGAATGGGCCTCTTTTTCAAAACAAAGGCAATCTCCACATCCATCTTTGTGATTTCAAGGATATAGCAGATGAACATCCTTTTCAAACGTGCCACGATAGGTTCATATTTCTTTTCATCTTTCAAAACAATGTTGAACAAAGAAATCCAGTCAAATGGGTTCATAAATGGCAAGTATACCAAAGTAAATTGATTAACGACATGGTTTGCTCCTCTAAAACCCTTGAATTGTATGTTAAGAAATTCCAAAGTTTGAACAAGAGATTTGACCTTTACATTACTTATATTCTTCAAGCTCGAAGATTTGTATTGTGGCTTTCCGTACATCAGGTAAACTGAGAAGAGCTTCTAATTAACTTCATTGTCTGAAATCAAAGACTTCTCAATCTTCTCAAAACAATGAAAAAGAAAAGCCCTAGGTGTAATGGGAAAATCAAATTGAGATTCCACATTATTATTCAAATCAAAAGAAATCGAGGGCTCTAGCCAATATATGTTGGGATCATCAATAGCCTCTTTCTGAATGCATTCTATTGTCCAAGGTGGGAATAATGACTTTTGAGTTTCAAGCATACGCTTCGTATTCTTAACATCCACTTCTTTATCTTCTAACTTTTTCTGAAGAGTCAGGAGATCATCAAGCTATTTATCACGCTTTTACATGGCAATCCTTTCGTAATCAGTCATTGTCACACCCGCAAACCAGAACGGAGGAAACGTCAGGGGCGGAGGACGTCATGTACAGAATCACAACAACTGAATAATAGTAAATCAAAGTAACAACAACCATTGTATTGATAATATAGTGTTTACATTGTATTCAAATTCACATATGATTAACTTCAAAAGTAAATAGCACAACAAAGACTTGAAGCCACTATGCTCTGTCTTCTCGAAATCTGTACGAGTACTTGTCCACTAGTGCCCTTAGAATAAAAGTGGTTTTGAAAGTGTGAACATTAAAGTTGGTGAGTTCATTAGCATTTTGTTTTAGAAAGTATGTTCTTTGCTTCATGAAAACCCTTAGTGTGTTCTTCCAAAAAATCATATATTTTCTGATGTAATATAATGTAAGAAATGTGACCCATACTAGTTCCTTCTGCGAGTACTTAGTGTATACAAGTTATACACAATCCGGATCGAACAGACAATCAACTATGTGGTTCTGCCCTAAACCCACAACCAAACAAGGAACAGGAAATGAGGCGGAAACCACACATTCCACTGCCTGTCGGATCTTTATTGTATATAACCCTAATGCATTCACTAGGTACTTACAGAGTTAACTATAATGGTCCTTTTTTAAATGTGAGTGTATTCTTTCAGAAAATCCTATATTTTCCGATGTAATGAAATTTTGTTGACTCGTACTTAGAAAAGTAATGTTTTGTACTAGAAAATAGTATATTGTACTTGTATATAGTGGCCTAGACCATACCTATTTCCCCTATGATTACTTACTATATACAGGTCATGTATAACCAAGATCGAATAGATAATAGACTGTGTGAATATGCTCTAAGCCCACAACCAAACAAGGAACAGGAAGTAAAGCGGAGTTCATCCATCCTACTACCCACTGGATCATATATATATATATATATATATATATATATACATATATATATATATATACGTATAGTGTTGGTGCATAAACTAAGAAATCATAGAAGTAACATTATAGGTCCCTTCTAAGTTGTATGTTCTTGTTGCTAGAAAGTTGTGTAGTCATTTTACTAAAATTAAACATTTGAAGTAGTGTTAATCCCACAAATAGTGTTTAGTTAATACTATTTTGAGTTTCATATAATCATGCTAAAATGACTAGTGGCCTCTACGACGTTCTTTAGGCGTCAGAATGTTATGACGTTTGTCACCTTAGGCCTACCGGCCTAACTGTAGCTAATCGTTTAGGTGTGGGATTGTCAGTCCTGTATATATCTATACACAAGCTCGCACTCTCCCTCCAGGAGACTCTGATTATAATTTATATGACATGAACCGGTACCCTGATAGGTACAATGAAATAGTTCCTCACAACCCTATATTAACTAGTTTACGTGTAATGTTCTGGTGTTCTCTTGTACTTGAAACTGTATGTATCACCTTGTATTGCTGTACTTTGTAATGGAAAGTAATTATACATAAATAATTGTTTAGTAGTGTAATGTTTCTGTTTAGTATTCTTGATCTTATAAAATAGTGTAATGTTTCCCAAACTATACCTATTATAGTTTAATTGTATTTTCTGTAATGAACTAAAAACCTTTGTAATTTAACAGTATGTATAAAGTGGTAATAAGAGATTCGTGAAGAATACTCTTTTGCTCGACATGTTACAAAAGGATTAAAAAAATATAAAAATATATTTTTATGAAATGCAACGATAAATCGATTTGAATCAATTGCAAATGGTTTAAAATTGTTTGAATATTGACACAAGTGTCCTTGTGTTTTACTTGTATCCCCCCGTAAAAACATTGAAAAATAGTGAAAACATAGGGGTATGAACTCATCTCTAGTACGTGTTCGTGTTCAGGTAGGGAAACTGCAGAGATGATCCTTGGGCTAGCATACGTGGAAATAATGGTATCCTAATAATATTTAAACACATAATTGTATTTAAATTAGCAAAATAATTAATTAAAGTGTTAGACAACACTTAATTTATGTAAGGAATACTTACAAAAATTACTAGGAATTTATTTGGAGTGTCTTAGGTGTTTTCGGTATGAAAGTAGGGCCAAAAGGAGAGTTTTCGATACTGACCGAAATCAGTCTGCGGTCAGGGGAGGGTTCTCGGTTAGGAAGGATTTCGACATAGGGGTTCTCGGTCTAGTTGGTTTTCGGCCAGCTTGAAGATTTGAAGATTGTGCTTGGTGTTCTTGATGAAAACTATGAAGATTTGAAGGATTTTGCTTGAAGATTTGAAGATTCTTGGATGAAACTTGAGAGCAAAATAAGTGTGTTTTCGGTTGGAAAAGTGAGAAATGACTAAATTTTCGGGTGAAATCATATATATATACCGAGAGGGTTTTCGGTCCGAGGGGAGTTTTTGGTTGGAAGTCTGATTTTGGTCAAAGAAGGTGTTCCCGGTGGGGTTTTCGGTTCGAAGAGTTGGGACCTTTCACATGTTCTTGGTTCCCATTTTTTTCCCCAAAATTGTGTTTTTAGCCTAAGTGTTTGTATTCCAAACATTAAAATGCTTATATAAAAACATCATTTATGTATTTTTAATCATATTTTACCCTTATAATCTTAACAGAATAAACAAAACTTGTATTAATTTTTTATTTAGAGGGTTTGACATTTATTGACTTTTAAGTAACGGGTTGTTACATTATCCCTCCCGTTAGAGGGAATTTCATTCTGAAATTCATTCTAGAGTGGTTACCTAGGAACTAGGAGAAGAGGTGGGTACTTCTGTTCTATTTGATCTTCTCGTTCTCCAGTGAATTCACATCCTTGCTTGGCATTCCAACGGATATTCACTGTTGTGTATGTTGTCCTGATCAGTAGGGAGTGTGTTGGTTTGGCTTACTTGTCTATGTTCATCTGAATGGTAGCATGTCCACTTGTAGTCCTAGGCAACTTTTGTTCTGAAGTTCATGGTTGGACTCATACATGGTCCACCTATCATCGCATCGTGTATACAAGTCGTATATAATTAAGATTGACAAGACGGTCGGATGGGTGACTCTATCCCAAGTCCACAACTAGAAAAGGAATAGGAGATAGGGCGGAAACACATATCCTAATTTTGTAAAATCTTAATTATATACCACCCTCACGTATTCACTTGGTAGTGATAGTTTAATCGTATTTGTCACTAGCCTCTGTGCTTGAACCTGACTTGTTTCTCACATGGTATTCCCGAAAGGTCTGTTGGGAATACTTTGGGAAGGTTTCAAAAGATGTGGTACTCCTCGCACAAGTACTTCAGAGATTTGAGGCGAGAGACGATTCATAGGTTAGTGCTAAGTTTGTCGTTATGAGGGACGAGGGTTTCCTTAGTTGGTTGATTAAAGTGAAGGGTCTCTTCGATAACACATATGATTGGTATGGTGATGACCAAGCCAATCCATGTCTAATGACGTCGGTAGAACTTCATATCGTAGCAGGTGTTATGTCGATTAGGAAGAAGTGTTTGTTAGAACGATAGTGTATATGTGTATACGTTTCTAGTGCCTATTGTTTTATCCTTGTTATTACTACTACATGCATTCCGTACCACACCAAGCGAGTACTAGCAGTAAGAGTGTCCCGATAGATAGTGATGATATTTCATATTAAGATCCCCACCAGTTCCTTCTATGTTGCTTGGTGTCTACAAGTCATACATAATTAAGGCTGAGAAGATAGTCGACTAAGTGACTCTGCCCTAAATCCACAACCAGACAAGGAACATGAGATAAGGTGGAATCACGCACTCGAAGCCTATAATCTTAATTATATATGATCCTATTGTTTACACTAAGCCATGACAGCTTACCTGTAAGGATCCTTTGTTTTATATGAATGCAATGATTTGCTCGGACGAGAGAGAAATTTTATGATTAAGATTTAGTTAATGACCATTTTCATAAAAATCTTAAGTTTAAATTTTTTTTTTATTTAGAAAACATACCGCTGTCTATAGGTGGTTCTGGAAGAGACTCTCCTGCGATGATCATCAGTACTCTTCCATCTCTTCCAGAGTTCTGTGTTATCGGATAATCCCTCTTGTAGTGTCTTGTTTCACCACACTTGTAAGAGGCCTCACTTATTCCAACATCGGGGACATGGGAGATTGGTTGTGTTGGTGCTCTGCAAAAACGGGCAGTATGCCCCTTCTTGTGGCAGTTCTGGCAATTTAGTTATCAACAACCTCCAGTGTAATGGAAGTTACACTTGTTACACTTTGGGAGGGTTCCAACATATTGTGTGGTCGGTGCTGGAGTGGTAGGTGTTGTGGCAACATGGACCATAACAATCTATTGTCTCTTCGAGGGCTCTTGCGTTGGTTGTCTCTTTTCCTTGATCTTATAATTTCACTTGTATTCGTCCCCTTTTTCGGATTAGGAGTAGGATTCATCATGCCTTGGTGGACTCCATAGTCCTATCTTTTCCTTGATCTTATAATTTCCTTTGTTCTTTGTCCTATCTTTAGCTGTAATGATTTGTTGTTTCTGGGCCTTCCTATGGTATTCTCGTTCTTGTAGATGTGTTGAGTCCTTGCTCTGTCTTGCTTTGGGTTTTGTCACTGACTCCCATTACTTCATGATAGAAATTCTGACTCCTAATGCTTGAGTGTGCCTCTCATGCCTGCTCTTGATGGGGGCAAGGGT